ACAGTACTCATAATTTTTTTTTTCAGAATTCTTAGAATAATATGTATTTACCCATGGTATTTTTTCAAAGATCTTCATAACAGTTAGAGCTACATGTGTAAATATGGCGTATCTGAGCTAAAAAATAAAAAAATGATATGTAGTTTGATATGATATTTGCTATCTACATTCAAATTAAATTATTTCACTGATTTTGAACTTAAATATCATGTCGTGTATATAGGTTAAATTGACTTTAAACTGTGTCTGATATTTTTATCCGAATCGGAAATAAATCAGTTATTGTTTTAAATCTCGGATATCTATGAAACGCGATTAATTTAAATTGTGTATATTTAACAGGAAAGTCCTATCTTTATATAGAATAACAAAACAAATGGAAAGATTAATTTTAGTCTTTTAGTCAGTCTGAACTTATCAAAAATACGCCATATATGATTGTAATCATATTATATAGGATTAAATCTTAAATATATTTTCATAAAGTGCGAATCAAAGTACCCACTAGGCATTTTCTAATTAAAACTGATCAACAAATCAACAAATGTTAAAAATTGATCGTCCATTGTAGCGTCATCCTACCTTCAGAGATCATGATTTGAACATACTTGAATCTACACCACCTAAGGAAGTTTCCATATACATGTACATATAAATATGACCAATCATTTATGGAAGGGAATTACCGCCAAAAGTCTATGTATCTTGCTTTTATTCTTATTCTGCCTACTTCTTTATGCTTTGTTATTGTTGTAATTATATGTCACTTTATTATTTTCATATTCGTCTTTATTACATTTCACTTTGACTTTTATCCCTCTTCATTTTGCCCTTACTTCTATGTTGCTTTATTCTTGTAAATTCATTTTACTTTCTTTTAAATTGATACAGTTTCTTAAATGATTATAACTATTACGAACGCTAACTCAATCACGCAAACAATGAAGCATATTCAATGAAGACGAATTCAAGTTGTCCGAATTTAGTGCCGCATTATAACGCTAGGTGGCAGGGGTGTTCGCTAAGAGTGTTGGTAAAATTAGGTAAGCAAACCCGTGCCGGGGTTATTCGAGTTTTTTAAATTTTTTATTAATCAAACTTAAATTTTCAAAAGAACGATGTTTGTTATAAGTCCAGGTATGTACCCGATACATGCCATTCCCTCGGAAGTCTCGCTAGATGGTAAGATTTCCCCTGGAAGACTGACTACATAGTGATGCTTCCTTCGGAAGACTATATGTACAGTGGGACTTCCCGCCGGGGAAGTTTCAATATATAGGTAGTCTTCCGTGGGAAATCTCGCTATATATAGCAATTCGCCCCCATTGCTAGCAACCCCTCCCCCGAATAGTTTTTTTAAATCGTAAAACATGTTTATATATACTAACGTTTTCAGTTTTTGAAGAAAATTTATCCGTTCTATCAGGGACTACATGTATATACTAGTATATAGGTCCCTGGTTCTATATGAATAAATATCTAAATAATATCATTTTAATAGTGTTTTATAAATATTTTAAAAGTGTTTTATAATTAAATCATTTTAACCATTTAGTTAAACATAGATAATCTTCACGAGTACATATGGATAATGACTCCCCCCCCCCTTGGATGCAGTCCGCTGTCGCCCGCGTGGCACTGTGGTTACGGCGTTTGCTCTATATAGAGTCACGAAGTACAGTAGTAAGGAGTTGACCAGTACGTCGTGGGTTCGAATCCCACTATAGGATGTGGAGTTCGGTCCTTCGGATGAGATCTAGACCGTATTATCCGAGGTCCCGTGTCGCAGTAGGTACTGGCACGAAAAAAGATCCCTCACTGCTCAATGGCTATAAGTGCCGAGTGTATAGGACAAATTTGCAGCTCTCCACCGGCAAGAGGTGGCTTCTACATTTGAGTGAAAAATTCTCGAAAAAGAAATTATACAATGTACAATCACACCACCAAAGTCTCAATATATATACTGAGTTCTGGGTGGACGACCTCCTATGGGTAAGTTCCATCGGTAGAGGAGAGGATGGCCAAGAAACATTTTCCTAATCGTAAGTTTTTACTACTGGAAAAGTTCAGCGAAAGGCTTGTTGCCCCCCATCCCTTATCCCTAACACTTTTTGTTGCAGTACTAATAGTTGATTTATATATTAAAAGTCATGTACTTAGTGGCATATGAGTAAAATTTATTACTGAAAAAAAGTTGACGACCCCCCCCCCCCCCTTCACAACCACCAATTAGAATTTTCGAGTTTTAGGATTTTTTAAGCTCTCCTGGTTGATGACAAACACGGTGCGTACTAAAGATATTTCTTTCTTTATTGAAAAGTGTTATTTTAATATAAAATATTAACGCAGAAAAAAGACCGGGGTGTTTCTAGTATGCCTGGGTGCATGTAGTCTGGTTCCGACTTCGCCTTCCATGCGCGGATCTGGAAAGGGGGTAGGACCCCCTGGAATTAACAAGGTTACTAAAACAAGGAAAAAAAGTTACCACCCCCCCCCCATCCCCACTCCACGAAATAGAATGTTGACGTTTGAGCGAGTTTAGGTTTTTTTCTTCATTTTATGCTTGTCAAGAAAATTCTGGGATTTAATTTTTTTTACTTGGTTCCCCCCCCCCCGGAAAAAAATTCTGGATCCGCGCCTGCCTACCCATAATGCTCCTCACTCCTTTGCAAAGCCCTGTCCCTAGAATCACGCGCATCAGCAGTTACTATCTGTCGTGAAATAAAGTTCAGTTTAGTGGAAGGTTCTGAAAAACAACCCAATTTATAAGGGTTAGCTAGTATCAAAATATTTAACATTTTTATAACAATTAAACTGTAATTCAAATATCCAACAAATAACTTTATTAGAATTATATTTTTCAGGCGAGAGAACAGTGACGTAGCATCGTTTTTGAAAGTGGGGAGGGGGGCAACAAGAGAACAAATATTCAAGCTACCCGGCTGAAAACAACTTGACAAGCGCAAAATAAACCCCAGGAAATTGTCCAAACTTGAAAATACATAGACGTCGGAGCCGGGGAGGGGGGGGGGGGCGGAATTTAGCCCCCACTTCTTTCCAAAGATAGACTTAGTATAGACATTGAACATTTTTACAGGTTTAGCCCCCACCCCCACCCCACCCCACTTTCCATGGACACGATGCAGTAAAGGTTTAAAATGGGGAAAGTGGTGGTATTTGGAAAAAAAAACTTTGGCACTGGAGTTCGAACCTTCAACCCACCCACACCCCAGCCCTCCTCACGCAATAGGATTTTTTTTGTTTTGAAAATGGACATTTATTCTTTTTTTTTTTTGCTTGTCAGGTTTTTTTTTTGAAAGTCTAAAATAAATTCTTACACTTACCCCCCCCCCCCAACTTTCAATTAACTTGCGACGCCAATGAAATCCTATTTCGGAGGCGGGGTGGGTTTTGAGTTAGATTCAAATCCTTCTATAGAATCAAATTTGAATTTTCTTCCTACTATACGTACTACATTTACTTATTTGACCCTTGCTCTTACAAAGAGTGGGTCGGCCTTTAAATGATCATATTCAGTATAGTATATATAAAGTTATGTCTGAAAAAAAGCCGCTATTCCTATGTGCCCAGAGAAAATAAATATGGAGTTTCCATCATTGGATCGGGAGATCGGATCCGGCCTTCAGAAGTTCGATTGATAAAGTATTAAGGCGTATTGAAGAATCTCAAATAAACCGACCCGGGTTTGCTTACCTAGTTTTACCAACACTCGTAGCGAACACCACGCCACCTAGCGTTATAATGCGGCACTAAATTTTGACGGTTTGACAACTTCCATTCGTCTTCATTGCATATGCTTCATTGTTAGCATGATTGAATTAACATTCGTAGTAGAGATAATGCTAATAATTTATTAAAGAAACTGTTTAAGTTTAAAAGAAAGTAGAATGAATTTACAAGAATGAAGCAACATAGAAGTAAAGAAAAAAATGAAGAATGATAAAAGTCAAAGAGAAATGTAATAAAGACGAATATGAAAACAATAAAGTGACATATAATTACAATAATAACAAAGCATAAAGAAGTAGGCATAATAAGAATAAAAGCAAGATACATAGACTTTTGGCGGTAATTCCCTTCCATAATCATTGCTTTGCTGTTCTTGAGAACTTTAAATGATTTTCTCTATATCTTCCTATGTTAAACTTTGATCGTCCATTGCGGCCATTGTGGGCCCCACCCTACCCCTGGTGAAGGGTGAACAAAATTGAATCTACGCTAGTTGTGGCTGTTTCCATATAAATTTGACCAACTATACTTGAGATGAAGATTTTTTAACGACTTTTCCCATATACGCGCCTATAAGATCGTCCATTGTGGCCCCACCCAACCCCCGGGGGTTCATGATTTGAACAAACTTGTATCTACACTATCTGACAATGATTCCGCATGATTTCATCTTTTCTGGCTCATATATTTGTTCTTCAGAAGAAGAATTTCAATGATGCTATTAATTTTTTCGCTATTTTGTAATTGTCTCCCCTTGGAGGAGGGCATGGCACTTCATTTGATAAACTTGGGTCCCCTTCACCCAACAAATGCAATCTCTACCCAATTATCGTTCCAAGAAGAGATTTTTTCACAACTGCAAGGTCACTTTAATAAAGCTGTTTTGAATCTTCTCGTGTTGTGAAGAATCAGAGACCTCTTAACTGTTTAGAGTGGGACCACAGTATATGATGACCGTCAAGCAAAAGCATACATTTTAAATAGTGAAATGAAGATTTACGTAACATTGTTGTCATATTTATTTATGTGTGAATGTATTTCAAAGCAGAAAAAGTGTCTGGCAAGTATGAAGCGAGTATGAAGCGACTCTATACAACAGAATGAGCAATATCAACAGAAAGCCTAAAGGAATGGGCATTCGGAGATAGAAGGACTAGAATTACCGTTTGCCACGTACGCGGAATAGAGTTGTGTCCCTTTGAGGAACTCTTCTTTGTATGAAGATGAGCAGATGAAAACAGACAAACTTAAAACTAGTCGAAGGAAAATATTGTGTATAGTTTATTTATTATCATGGGAAACACAGATACAAAACTAAACTTTAGGAAAGCAGTGATTCAACTTACTACAAAGACACAGGTAAAAAATCATCCCGGTGTTCGGGTTTTGAAGTTAAAAATTGGTTTATCGTAATTTGCCAACATGTCGCTAGTTGCACGGATCAATAAATTTCCAATAATAGATAGGCTATCTATGACGTGCAAAGATTTTGGTATAGAAAATTTCAAGGAATTCAGACAGAATAAACTAGATAATTTTATTGTAATTATTCTATTTGACTTACTTTCATTTGATGAAATTTAATAGGTCTGTGGTTTTTTTTTTTTTTTTTTTACATCTTAATCTCATGTTATCTACTATTATAACATGTTTCAGCTGTGCATGTAATTATCTTGCAGCCCATTGAAGCAAATGATGAGGCATTTTGGGAACAGTTTTGGTCAGAAAGTGTGACGTGTGTCCAGGATGTATTTACACTGATCCCTGCTGCAGAAATAAGGGCATTAAGGGAAGAATCTCCGTCTAATCTAGCCACACTATGTTACAAAGCTGTTGAGAAATTAGTAGCAGCTGCAGAGAGTGGGTGTCCTTCTCAGAGAGAGCAACAAACAGGTACACAGAGAAAACAAGACAGAGGCAACATAAATCAAGCAGTGTTATTTCAATGTGAATGATTGATTATACTGGCATACACAAGTGAAATTATATTGAAATATGTTCATTTTTTTTTTACATTGAATCAAGCATTTTGCACATATTTTCAAGATCAACTCAAAAAGGACAGTATATTGTAAACCAACATTTATTCGCATGTGAGAAATATTGAAAGTGTAATTGAATGTTAAATGGAAGTAGAAATGTACATGTAGGCTAATATTAATCGCTGCAAACCATTTCCTTTGCTTGTTTCGTAGAACATTTTTCCTAAATCCTTATTCGTGAAAATTAATAGTAGCAGATTGATTTTAAGCTGACGAATCACGAATAAAAGATGGCGTGAATAATAGTTGGTTTACAGTAAATCAAAGATTTTAAGCAGTATTTAAAACATTAACTTAGCATTTAATTGAAATATTAAATGGAAGTAGAAATGTACCTGTATAGGCTATATTTTATAATAAATCATTACATGTATTGTATTTTTTCACAGAGCAGGTGACCAAGTAAGCAAATGTTTAATTTTCTTTCAGTTTTAAATTGTGTGAGACTTCTGACTCGCATATTACCATACATATTTGAGGACCCTGACTGGAGGGGATTTTTCTGGTCTACACTACCAAACCAGTCTGAGGAATCTAAAACTATTAAGATTAACATTGTCAGAAGAATGTTACTTATTATACATGTACAATCTATAATGATGGACACATAACTAATTATTGTCTAGAATGTATATTTTTTTCCTTTCATAGATCTTGTATATTTTTTGTGTGTGTTTGTCAGTGACATACAGGCTAAATCTATATACAAACATATTTCTGCCAATTTATAAAATCATAATATAGAATATTTCATAAACTTAAGTTCTAAAGTCTAACTTCTCAGGGGTGCCTAATTCAATTTGATAATTTTTACAATTATCAAATGACATCATTTTGAAGATTTTTTTTAATTATTCGTAGAATTTTGTGAAATATAAAAAGTTTCTCTTTTCCAGATTGAAAGCTCACCACTAGCACAATCCTTACTAAATGCATTATGTGTGAGTATTTTATTGCACTATTGCTAGAAATATTATGTATAAAAACAAACATCTTCCTTGAAAATGCACACACATTTTGTAAAAATAAAATCAGAGACCTTTCTTAATATATTCCTGTCTTGGAAATCGTTCCTTGAAATTTTAAACGAAAAAGTTGGCAGGGTGATAATTTGTTTGCTATTAGCTTACTTGTATATCCTTATAAAAATACCATTATTAAAGAAGATGACAAATTTGTATGAACACTTTGACTTATATCCTTTTTTTTCATGTAGGATCTCCTGTTTTGTCCAGACTTCACAGTTCAATCTAACAGAAAGTCAGGACCAGTAAGTATATATAAGCATTCAGTAAGATTTAAATTTAGAATTATTAAACTTTATTAAAACTGATGAAACAATGATATCATATTAAAGTTGATCTGATTTCTAATTGGGATCTTCAATTTTAAAAAAAAAGTTTTCTGATGACCACAACCTGAATTAATTTGCTTGATTAATTTTATTCTTTAGGACAATCCTGAGGACATGGGCTCTATAGACAGTTGTGAATACATCTGGGAGGCAGGGGTGGGGTTTGCCCACTCCCCTCCCCACAACCTTCACCATGATCAGCACAGAACAGAGATCATCAAACTGTTTCTTACCTGCTTCTCTGAAACAATGTATTTACCACCAATAGGTAGGAACATCTGTCAACATGTGTACCCATACATTTATATATGTACATACTTATAAATGTTAAGTGTTTGATAAAAATATTTAACAAAATTGTATGTATTCTTTGGCAGTAAATTGTTAAGTTCAGAATTTAATAGAATCATGCAATTTTACTGTTTTAATGAGATACTGTTGCCGAAATACTTCATTTTAAATGTCAGTTGTGTTAAATACTATGACACTGATTTTTTTTCTAGCTGATGCCCACACAGTTCCAAATCAGTGGATTCAGTATTTCACATCAACAGACAACAGGTAAGATGTGTTAGCTTTAAGAAATATATTGTTAGGTATGGATCATTAATCGGTGCTCATGGCTAAAATTTTACCTAAAGCAAAATACAGGTTGAATATATTTACCAATAGTAAGATTATCAGGCATGGCTGATAATGAGAAGACAACCCTGATTGTTGATCATAGGAAAGGCTATCTTGCACCTAGAAAACTTGAAATTAACTGTAATGCCTATGCATACACTTGCTGTGAAGCAAATTATACAAGATCTGAATTCTTCACTCTTTGATAGTTTGTTGACTACTCTTTCTCTAAACTGTTGAAAGATAAGTTTTGAAATTTCAAGGAAAAATTATATACGTGTATTTGATTATTGTAGACATGCTCTGCCATTGTTCACATCCCTCCTCAATATTGTCTGTGCCTATGATCCTGTGGGTTATGGTGTACCATACAATCATCTCATGTTCACTGACTCCCGAGAACAAATGGTAGAGGGCGCCCTTCAAGTGTTGTGTGTTACCATGGAGAATGAATCATCCAATCATAATGTGTCTGTGGATGGGACATCTGGAGGCACTGCTATGGATGCTCAGAGTGATGTAATAAATAATAACTTTTACCATGCTTTTTTTTTTAACATGCGATTTATTTACATATACATATAATAAATAATTCTTAGAAAAAGTGTTTAGTGTAAAAAAATTTCGTATTCTGTAACAACTCCATTTGGAAGATTTCTTTCTTATATCAGACAGGAGTTTGAGAGATAATTTGTTTATAAATTATCTATAACTCATTTCAGACTGGAGGTCCAGATAATTTATTTGTGAACTATCTATCCAGAATCCACAGAGAAGAGGTAACTTAGAACATGATGTTGTTTTTGCCAATAAATTCTTTGTATAAATCAATTCTCAAGACTTCTACTTTTAAAAGTCATTTTCCTTTACATGAAAGTGTTAAAGTTTGAAATGATGTACATGCAACAAATTTTATTGCCGCAAAGGATTTTAAAAGTCATTTTCTTCTTTACATGTAAGTGTTTAATTTTGAAGTGATATACATGCAACAAATTTTATTGTAGGATTTTGCCTTCATACTAAGGGGAATAACTCGTCTTCTAAATAATCCACTCACTCAGACCTATTTACCAGGCTCCTGCAAAAAAATTCAGTTTCATCAAGAGTTACTTGTCTTGTTCTGGAAAATGTGTGATATTAATAAGGTATGTGTATCTTGTTAAGGTACAATGATTATGTTACACAGAATTTCCTATGAAATCAGTTTGTATGTTCATTAGAAGAACAGTAAAATGTGCCATAAACAAGCAATTTTGATTGCGAAGTGGTGTATAAAAAAGCGTAAACTGCTCCAACCCAGGTTATACCAGCATAAATTGGGTTGTTATGTAATTCATTCCTTATAATTTAATTTACAATCGTAAAGTATAGAAATCAAGACAATTTCTATCTTAAAAACATCTTCAAATTATTCATATTTTAAACGTAACATGAAGCGGATTGATATGTTTTTGATGCAAGTCATTGTGACGTAGGCAACCCAGTTTATACAATTTAGATTAATTTTTTATCCAGTCAAATGACAAGTTACAACCAAAATTAAATTATTTAAATATGAACCCTGTTTACAATTTTGACAAACATCTATTTGATTTTTTATTTATTAGAAATTCATGTTTTACGTGCTGAAGAGCAGTGATGTGTTAGATGTGCTGGTCCCAATTCTGTACTTCCTTAATGATGCCAGGGCAGACCAGTGTAAGTATACAAGGCCGGGATATCAAGAACAATTACTCATATTATTAATTTGCATTATAAGTGATTGATGTGTTGAGCAATGTTATTTTTAGTGAATTGCATGACTATAACACATTTTTATTTCTGCTTAACTTCATGAAGTATAAATTTCTCACCCATATTTAAACAAATATCATCAAAATTAGATAGTCTATAAAGAAAAATAGAGTATCAAATTTTTTTCTCATATATATACTGTCAAACCTGTCATAGTGTTGAAATAGAGACCATTTCCTGTCATATGCAACCATTGAATTTCCTATGGAGAATTTTTTTCATTATACAGTAAAACTTGTTCAGTACAAACACAGTTATTGTGAATTCATCAATATAGCAAAATTATCTCCGATCCCCAGCTACATGTATATAAATTTAATGAATTCCTTACACGGATATATCCAATTATATATGCATGTATAGCAAAGTAATTTCATAGGTCCCAGCAGCTTTGTTATAACAGAGTTTTACTGTATTTCACCTGCATTAAGTGAGTCTAGTACATCATTAAAATACTGTAAATCACTTTTTAATACATCGTAATTGTGACAGTGTTCGCAAAAATTCAATTCTCGTGTATAAATATAGGATTATATGAGCAATAACCAGAATTCATGAAAACTGAATGAATTCAGACTTGAATTTGATAACAAATTAATGAAATATTAAGATTTCTCCTTACCCAAATGTCTCATTTGTCAAGAAAACTAGAAATGATTTTAAACTATTATGAAAGATGGTGAAAAGGAAAACAAGTTTAAGTCTGACCATTCAGTATTTATGAATTTACATAAAAAAATTGCTAGAATATGATTCCCTGTTTTAAGAAGTCTGTTGTGTGTGACATTTTTGAGAATTTCTCTTGATCGTTGGCTAAGAGTATGTTTGATTATACTGTTCTATGCAGTAACTGTTGTTGTGCTGAAATCAATTTCATGTTATTGATATTCAAAAAATGATTAATTGAAAAAAAGATTATGAAATTAAACATTTATGCAAAAAAAGGGGTAAAATATTTTCAAAAAAAATTTTAGTAGGATGTGATCAAAATGATATGGGTAAGATTTGCAATTACATTTAATATGACTTTTAAGATTTACAAATTAGTTTAGACTTCGGTCTTTTGTCAATGTCATCTCATTATTGTTTGACAAAGAGAATGTTATCCCAATTTGTCAAGGAAATCAAAGTATTTCAATAGTTAAGATCTTTTAACTTTTGCATTGAATTCATAAGTAGAGTTTGCACTGAAATTTTAAGACAAATGCAGACAAGAGACCTTTCCAATGATTAGTAAACTTACTAAAATGAATAAATAATCTAACTGCTTGTGTTGAATAAATAACTCCTGTATTTATAATAGTTAGGACATTAACTTTTGCATGTACATCCTTATTATCTATAATGTTTGTACATATACCTATCAGTATAATCTCTTGACAAAAAATGCACTTTAGTGATTTTTCACACATTCCACAAGATATACAATGTATTTGGCTTAACTGGCTCTGTAATGGGGGTCATATTTATTGTGTGAATTAAATAAGAATGGAAACAACACCAAAAAAAAATCAAAATTCTGAAGTATTTGTTTGTACGTTATCTCCAGTATGCTATATATTAAGAATCACTTTTTCCAATTTCCATATTTTATACATATTGAATGATTTTTCTCATTGCAGCTCGAGTTGGTCTGATGCACATTGGGGTATTTATTCTACTCTTACTCAGTGGTGAGCGCAATTTTGGAGTCCGGTTAAACAAACCTTACTCAGTACGAGTTCCCATGGATATACCAGTGTTCACAGGGACACATGCTGATTTCCTCATCATTGTAAGTGTTCAGCTGATATTTGTGTATGTATATTAAAATGTGCTATAAAAAATCACAGGAAATAGACTTAGTTGAACAGTTTTGCAGAACAAATTGATAATAAATAAATGTAATGTTAAATTTTAAAGGTTTTCCACAAGATCATTACCACAGGACATCAGAGACTACAGCCACTGTTTGATTGTCTTCTGACCATTATTGTCAATGGCAAGTAGAACTAGAGATGCAACAGCTGATGAGAATATTCACAATTTTTTGTCATAAATTAAGTTCACCTTTTTTTCACATTCTGTGATATGTACATGTTGCTCTCTTGAGATAAGTTGGAATTTTTTTTATGAATTTTATTGATTGCTTATTTCTATTGAAAGTGATTTGTTTGTGTTTTTGTGAATTTCAGTTTCCCCATATCTGAAAACTCTGTCAATGGTAGCCAGCACCAAACTACTGCACCTGTTGGAGGTAAAAAATATTGAAAGTACTGCGAGAAAATGAACAAACAATGCATATATTGTTTCTATATTTTTTGTCCTATCCATGTAACACTGAAATTTATGAATGTTTATTTGTTACCCTTAAATTTGTGTACTAGAGAGTATAATAAGTGAATGTTGTCTGTTCTATTTTGGGCTGTTTATTTCAGGCTTTCAGCACCCCCTGGTTCCTCTACGCCAGTCCAACAAACCACCACCTGGTGTTCTTCCTTTTGGAAGTTTTCAACAACATTATACAGTACCAGTTTGATGGTATGGATGTGTTCCAAATAAAAATACACAACTTTTATTTGTGTAAATTGTATTATCGCAAATACATGTAGTCTCTGTGTCAAAAAAAAGGCTTATCACGAAAAATTTTTATGTAAATCACTGTCACAAATAAAAAGTTGGTTTACAGTGATACACAAATGCTGAATATTTCAGGCAACTGCAATCTTGTATACACAATCATTAGAAAAAGAAATGTATTCCATCAGCTGGCAAACTTGCCTACAGAACATGCCACCATAGCAAAGGCTCTCAGCAAGAGGGGGAAGAAGTTTGTTCAGCTGACCCCCGAGAGTGGGAAGGATCTCCCCACAATGGAGGGGGCGATACCGGCCATGGAGGCAGAGCCAGGAACCCTCAAAACAACATTAGCTGCCACACCCAGTAAGTAACCATTCAATTCTACACATGAGTTAAGTTTTTAAAGTAAGCTTGGGCATTTTTAATGCACAGCAGTTTTAAAATTGTTAAAAATGTTTAAAATTTTATTTTTAAGTTTAAAAAATACACTTGTATTTGAATAACTATGACAACCTTTACCCAAACAAGCCAAAGTTATGACCATAATATAACTTAATGCATCCATACTAAATATGGTATTGTAGATTTTCTTTAAAGTTATTATATGCTTGCAATTTACTTTCATATACCAGAGTTACTGATATTATTATAGTTCCATCTATATCTTACTATACATGTATGTTTACATTCATATATAACAGTCCTTCAAAAAATAAGTGTATTATCATAAAATCCTTATAAATTTGAAACTAAAAAATATACCAAACAATTTAAAATATATACATATACACAAAGATAAATACACAACACTTTGCATACTTTTCATACTCTTTATGTATATATTTTCCAAACTTTTATCTAAATTTGAAACAAATAAATAAAAGATATCACAATACAATAAAAATATCTTTTGACTACAGTTCATTACATACCTTATCCTGATGTTTGATAGCATGTACATATAAAATGCATATCTGAATCTGTATCACTTTTCATAAAACGTTAATTTAGAAACTTTTTTCACCATTTATCCTAACAAAACAAAAAATGCATTGTGTATACAACTCCTTTTCTCAGTCTTTTTGCATTGACATTTTATAACAATTCTCTCAGTTTATATTTGAAAATAGTTTACAATAGAAATAATTCTCTTATGTTAGATTTTATTTTTTAAAGTTAAACTTACACCAGAGCTAAAAAGTAAGTGTTTTCTCTAGACTTAGTTCATCTCATATTCTTTTTATCAGCATCTTGGCTTGCTATTGTTTAATAACACCTGAATTCCTTGCAATGATATCAGGACTTATCATCACTGTTTTCTTGACTGAATTGAATTCTATTTAAATGTGAAGCATTTGCTATTCAGTTTCTGCTCTCACATTTCTTTACCATGCCCAGGATGAAAGTAACTTAATTCTCTTATTAAGATTAGACCTCTTTTAATATCAACAATTTTTACTTAAAACTGTCAAATTAGTTTTGATGTATATTCTGTAAGGATTTCTTTTACCTGTCTTCAACATCTGCATGTACCGTTACATACATGTAAATATGCATTGGTCTCTTATTTAGCCAAGTTGCAAATTTCCCCACATTCTCTTGGCATCAGAATGATATCAGGTAAAATCAAATAGACATTGACAACACCATCGTAAAGATCAAGGTCACTAAATCACTCACTATATAACAAGTTAGAGATTCAGATAAAGTTTACAACAAATGAAATACCAAATCAAAGCACCAAGCATTTCACAAGAAACACATTACTTCCCCTTGTCATGCAGCAGTAGAAATCATTTTAATGCTAAATTTGCAACTTAGCAAATATGCTCTTTGAAGTCAGTTTTTTTTTAATCTGTGTTGATGAGCATAATCACTGTTCACTAACATGTTTGGCTTTGAAGTGATAATCATGATGGGGGCAGGGGAATGAACTATAGTGGGATCTTGGTAATTTGTAATGAACTGAGAGTCAAAGATAACAGAAATGAATATGGTAAACTCATTTCTGTGAAAAGATAAAGAAATCTATCTATTATGTTTTTATCTTTTCTTTATACATGTACGTAAATGTAAGTAGTTGACACAATTAGATGAAAGAGATGAAAAAATGTTTTTACTATTCCTTTTTTTGAATGTTATGATTTTGATATGTTGAATTGTACATGTAGATTTTTGGTACACATGCACTTTTAATAGCCTTTTGAGGACATCTTTAACTTTTTTATATTGTATATATTTAGTGTATGAAGCTATTTCATTTTGAGATCTTGTACAGTCATAATCTGTTACAGTGAAACCTGTCTAATCTGACATGCACAGGGAGACAAGTTTTGTGTCAAAATAGACAGGATATCTGATTGTATAGTGTAAAGAACATAGAAAACAGTAAATGAAATTGATTAAGGATGGAAATTCACAGTGAAACAGATTGCACAGGTGTCAGAGTAATCAGTTTTCACTGTACGTGTAGTTCTTGGTAGTCCCACTATGACCTGAAAATATTTGTTACAGGGCTGGATAAGATGACAGAAAAAGCAGCCCCAGACGAGGGTCACTCAGAGCTGACCCTGAAGGAGCTAGCTACCTCCACCGGCAACATCAATATCCAGCCTCCCTCAGAAATCCAGGACCCCGACTCCCCTGAACACAAAAATCCCAAGACAAAGTCATCCAGATCTGTTCCTGTTAGTAATAATTATAGTAACAGTTGTAAGAATTTAAGATCCATGGCCATTTAAGAAGTTAATGATAAAAGATATATAATAAATGTTTTAAAATTAATTATTGAAGCGTAGGATGGTTACAATATATCCTGATTATTTACTTTGTAGCCTCTGAATTTAAATATAAATGTAATAGAGTATTAAATATTTTTTAAATTCACCAAGAAGAATTATTTTTATCCAGAATTCCCCACCAGCCAGTCCCACTGGGTCAGAGACAGCAGCCCGGCCCCCACTTGCCAGAACATCCTCCACATCAAGTTCTGGGGGATCCTGGGTGGCCACACCTGAATGGGTAGGCTATATACACATAAAGAAAGCTAAATTTCCCTTACTTTAAGCTTTATTAAGTTGTTTGGGTTTATATAAATGTAAAACCATAAAGTGCAAAATTAATTAATTCCTTTGTTTTATATTAGTGTGCTTTTAGAATATTTTTACTTCAAAGTAAAGTAATAATGGATCAAGAGAAATTTGAATTTATGGGAGAGGTATTTGCATCCCAATTGGTATTTACAGAAAGATTCATTTTTTCATTCTATATTATTGATCGTTTTTAACAATTCAGAAAGTACATTTCGCATGCATTTTTTGGGTTCTTCTGTTTGGCATTTTGAAATTTATTGATACACTATGCATTTATCTTTCTGAAAATTATGTACCAGTATAATGTTGAAAGAAAAGACAATTGGAGAAATACATGTATATCAAATGTCTCAATGTCTGAATGTATATCTGCAAGTTTATAAAAATTATTATTTTTAATATGTGTGAGTGGAAAGCTTTTGTATTCACCATAGATAAATTGTTCTAATTGTAGGTCCAGTCTTGGAAACAGAAGCTGCCTCTCCAGACCATTATGAGAATGCTGCAGGTGCTTGTACCACAAGTAGAGAAGATCTGTATTGACAAGTGAGTTTATATACTATATGCTTTACAGTTTAACATAATTTAATTTAACATTGATCAATTTTGAAAAACTTGTTAGAATTTTATATTCATGAAATTCATTTGCATAACTTTTCTTTGCGTGCAAATAGCATTATAATGAAAATGATGCAAACCAATTATTTTGCTTTGCATTTGTAGAATATGTTTCTTCAGTTGTGAAAGATAATCACTGTGGATTGATAGTGAATGCAAATAAAAGAACCTGATAATAGTTGGTATATGTGTTGGTATTACATAATCATACCTGTTGGTTACACCTTTATCTTCTTTTTGTGTTACAGAGGATTGACAGATGAGAGTGAGATACTGAAGTTTCTCCAGCATGGAACATTGGTGGGACTACTCCCAGTTCCCCACCCCATCCTAATAAGGAAGTACCAGGCAAACAGTGGCACCACCATGTGGTTCCGTACCTACTTGTGGGGAGTCATCTATCTCAGGTCAGTGTCAACAATCACTAATATCTTTATGTGACATGGCAAATTGGACAAATTTCTATTTACATGTATAAAGTTTTTGCAAGGAAATTTGGCAACACTGGGTTTGAGATGCTAAAATTAATTAAAATATGATATACTGGTTGTATATAGGTCAAAGAATGAACTATTTAGGGCTTGCAGGGGAATAGTTCCTTCAAGGGTTTTAAAAGAGCTACCCCACCCACAACCAGTGGATAAGCGTTTTATTATACTGATGTATAGGCTAATATAATTTCTGAGGTTTGAATTTTTTTGGAGAAAGATAATTCTGAAATCATAAAAATTAACATCATCAGTTTAAAGATTTCTTGCTGGAAATCAAAACAATAATTGCATGACAATTTTTAGCAAAAACTTCCGGGGTATAGCTTTGCTATGCATGGATAGTTATTTTACCTTCTGAACTTTATATAGGAAACAATTTAACAGAAGTATAATACTATCGCAAACAATTTATTCCATATTGGTTATTATGGAAATTTCTCTAATTATAAAATCACTAAAATTACTTCTCACTAAAAATATATATATACCAATTTTGGGGGGATAAAATACTAAATTTGTGTGTCTCTAATATTTTCTTATAAAGTATTTGTCAAAATATCATACTAAAAAATTGTTCCCACTTGCAATGAAATTCTCAAAGTAAAGGGATGGGTGAAAGTGGCAAAATCAAAAGATATTTCATAAAGCTACAGACAGATACTATTTAAACTTCATGAGTTTAATAAAGAGTATTTTCCTTTTGCAGAAATGTTGATCCACCAATATGGTATGATACAAATGTAAAACTGTTTGAGATCCAGAGAATTTGATAAAGGTTACAAAAAGGAAGAGAAAAATCTGATCAAAAAGGAAAGACTTTGCCAAAAGGAGTTGGTTTTAAAGGTCACAAAGTAAACTGACCATTAAAGATCTGTATTAAAAAATCATGGCATTATTCTAAATGTAGTGTGTAATAATATTGTGACATCCAGTATCTACATGCATGCTTCTTTCTTATATAGAAAAAAATTTAATCAGTTCTTTATGAACAGATATTTCTATGTCAAAACTCTCATGATAATATGGTATTTTAAATATTCATATTTTATTCTACTCAGTTAAGAATGACATGAATTGAACTGATGAAATGGTGACAATCTGTACATGCATTTGTTAATTTAGTGAAGAATGACAAAACTGTTTTCTGTGATATTTCCTATGGCATTCCATGAAATAACAGTGTGATGGTTATCTTATCTTGGAACTGTATGTAGATCCCTTTCTATATTTAGCAACTTGTACTGCGGATTATTACAAAACAGTTAAGCTTTGCAAATTTAATTGTATGATTAATGTAATAGAGTAAACATCTACATTATATATGTGTGTGTATTGTTAAGTTAACAAGATCTCTATTTATTACAAACACTGACCAATAACTGCTATTTAAAAGGTGTGTATAGAAATTTTCAGATCAAAACCAAATGTGTTTAGAAATTAATTTTTCCAAATTGTGCTAAATATGAGCTTTTTACTGGTAAATTAAATAATACGTTGACCAATTTGGTTAAATTGTTAAATAAAATTACTAGCACACATATTTTATTATCAGAAATTCTTGGAGAATTTTGTTGGAGTTGATGTTCTTTAATCTAATAGCTTATAGAAATTTAAGTTAAACCAATAAGAGTATTCTTTAAATTTATATTTGGCATGTATAAAGCAGAGCGTAATTGGTGAAAGAATTTTTGTAGAATTCAACTCATACTATTTTTCTATTGATGTAAGGTTTATGGGTTGAAGAGTAAAGATCTTGAGTCAAGCCGTGAGGGTACACTCTACATATACATGTATAGTGAAACTTGTTTGAAGAGACATGCATGAGGACTTAGGAGACAATGTTTTTGTTAGATTGTAAAGTGCAAAGAACATGGAAAATAGTAAAATGTGAAGAGGAAATAAAGAGTGGAGTTTACAGTGAAACAGAAATGTTAAAAACATCAAGTGCCTGTGAGTAAAATCTGTTTGATTAAATATGCATAAGGAGACAATGTTTTTTGTTAGATTGTATAGTGCAAAGAACTTTGAAAATAGTAAAATGTGAAGAGAAATAGATATCGGAATTTACAGTGAAATGTATTGTACAAGTGCTAGATTAGACAGTTTTCACTGTACAAGAAAATTAAAGTTGAGTCACAAGTCTAAAAAAATATTGGGTATTTCATCATCTAGTACATTTGATAACTTACTCTCTGATAATGCTTGTGTACAAATTATGATATATACTGATACATTTCATTATGTTGTGTTTTTTAATTTAATTTCTGAGAGAATTGCTGCACTGAGGGTATTTATATATATATGGTTATTTATCTTTTAAAGGAACTTTCATAGGTATCCTTTTTAATGATTATTATGAAAATGTATTTGGGCAAACAATGTGCAATTCATGTAAAAATGTAACAAAATATAATATAAAAAATTATGATATTGTTAACGTTTTTGTTAAAGTGTAAAAATATATTTGTGCATATGAATTTGTGTCTATATTGTTAGTGAGAATAAAGATTGCATTATGGCAAAATATATGTGTTGTTGGAAAATTTATGAAAGTTTTTTAATAAGTTAGAAATATATTTTTTTAGCTGTAAATTTTGGTTGAATACGATTTTTCCCTTCTGTTCTTTTCTGCACGTCAGAATAGTGGTATATTTCTGAATAATCTGGACAATAGCACCACGTTGGCAGGAATTCATGATACAACATTTATGTTGTATGGTAGACCGTTATGAAGTATGTGTAATTAATTTTTGAGTCATTAGAAAACGGATAATAGTCATTCAGTGAAGTTTGGATGGAACTTTGTGTGAACGTGCACACAGCTACACTTCGCATGTATTTAAACTGAAGTCATTTCGTCAGGTGCCAGTCAAGTAGACCTTGGTGCGGAATTAATCAATTTTCTTGTTGTTAGTAATAGAGGATTTTTGCTCGTTATCCATGTAATGTAGATTGAACATCCATGCGCTCCCCTACCACGACACTAAATGTTTTATACATCGATTATTGGAGAAAATGCTCAAACTTAGGACTTGTAATTTTTTCCCTGAGTTCTTTTATATTAGAAATCCTTGAAGTTTTCTCCCTGAGAGAGGCCTGTCAAAATTTCAGTATTTTTGGAAATTGCTGTTAAATTTTATTGAAATCAGGGGCCATGTTAGGTGTTCTAATGTTGTGCAAGGTTTATTCTAATTATAATGATTGTTTTACAACTTATCTCCCAAGGGTGTGCGTATTTTTTGAGATGAACTGTGGCCTAGAATAAACCATAAAACAATTCAGAGCTGTTTGTTTACAAGCGGATTTAGTTTCTTTCAACATCAAGCGATTATTTCGGAACATTTAAACAGAAAAGTCGCGATAAAATTACTTAAATACCATTATCATGGACATCAAAAATGCTAACCATTCACACGGCGGAACACAATCACTCATCATTGTAAATCTACAGGTTGAAGAGTACAGTACCCCCCAGAGATCGAAGAAAAAAGGAAGAAGTTATATCCCGTCATCCGACAAGCCAGGAAGGATCACAAAAAAGTCAAGCTTGTTCGGGACACTTTATACGTAGACGGCAAAGTGTACATTCCACCGCCTGATCAGGCTAATCGATTCGTGACCAATCAGGGGAAGCAGAACAGGATCAACACTGACCGACAGGCCAACAAAAGACCGCGCCAAACGTCAACTCCAGATCGCGACGGCTAGGGGCACGAGGAAGAGCAGTCTCCGCGCCGACTAAAATTACTGACATTAAATGTGTGCGGGCTCAGGCGTAAACTACAGTACCCTGAATTTTTAAACTTTATCTCGGAATATGACATCTTGTGTTTAACCGAAACAAAAACAGATAATACTGACGATATTAATATACCAGGATATTATACTTACATGAAAAATAGATTTGATGTAGCAAAGGTTAAATCTGGCGGGATAGTTTTAGCCGTCAAAGTAGATTTTGTTAAATTTTTTACTGTACATAATACACGTTGCCCATATGTTTACTGGTTTTCACTTGCCAAAAGTTTGTTTAATCTACCAAATGACATATTATTTGGAGCTGTATATATACCCCCTGAAAATACAAAATATGCATCAAAAGATTGTTTTCTAGAAATAGAGAGAGAATTGTTTAATCTCTCACATGACACTGATTATACATGTTTATTAGGTGATTTTAATGCCCGTGTGGGTAAATTGCAAGACTATGTAAATATCGATGAATTTTTGGCCGACCATAATAATTGGGATGAAGAAACAAGACAAGCTATAACACATGGTAGCATTTTATGTGACACAAATATTAAACTTAATCGTGTACCTGTAGATACTACTTGCAATAACTATGGATATAAATGCATTGAATTTTGTCAGAATAACAATTTATTTATTGCAAACGGCAGAGCCGGTGAAGATAAACTCACGTGTAGAAGTAGAAGCACAGTAGATTATGTAATATGTAGTGTATTTATGTTTAGACTCCTTAAAAATTTTAACGTCCACGATTTTTGTAACTTATATTCCGATGTTCATTGTCCAATAACATTTGAACTAGAAAGCCTAAAGGCAGAGACCCGCTCAACCGATCAACCGTGTAACCAAAACAATAAAAAGCAGTATTTATGGAATCCGGAAAAATCTGAACAATTCAAAGAAAATATTGATATCGAGAAATTGAAAGAATTACATGATGAAATTTTACAACTAAGAGAAAATCTTGATACTGTTCAAAATAACGATATCAATAACATCTCTAGCAAATTATGTAGTTTATTCCTATCTTCAGCGGAAATTACATTAGATGTTAAAAACAAACCAAAATTAAATAGTAGCCAAAATGTAAATAGACCATGGTACAATGCATCATGTAGGACTGCAAGAAGAAAATTTCATTTGGCTAAACGCCTTCACAACAAACATAAAACTCTGGAAAACTCAGAAAATCTTAAGATCACAAGTAAAGAGTACAAGAAAACAATGGATAGATGTATAAAAGAACATACTTTATCTATAACTTCAAAATTAGAAAATCTACAGAAAAGTAATATTAAGGAATATTGGAGAATTTTAAATAACTCGAAGACTAAATGTAAAACGGAAGTCGATATCAAATCAATGTACGATTTTTTGAAAAAAATTAATGAATCTAAAGATGATGAAGAGGATGATAATTATAATGTTAATCTCGATAATAACTCTCCTTTAAATTATCAGATCTCTGCAGAAGAAATTTTGCAAGCAGTGAACAAACTAAAAAATAATAAAGCTCCAGGATATGATCAAATCTGTAACGAATTTATAAGAACAACCATATCAAGTTTTTTGCCACTTTATGTTGATATTTTCAATGTGATTTTTGATACTGGTTATGTACCTGAAGAATGGCTCATAGGTATCGTTAAGCCAATATATAAAAACAAGGGTGACCCAACTCTTCCTGAAAACTACAGACCAATAACATTGCTTAGCTGTTTAGGAAAAGTTTTTACCAGCATTTTATGTGAGCGTCTGAATACTTTTGCTGATGAATTTGAACTGATTACTGAAGCTCAAACTGGCTTTAGAAAAGGATATGGTACAATAGATAATATATTGATATTAGATTTTATGTGTAAATTTGTCTTGTTTAGTAAGAAAAAACTTTATTGTGCATTTATTGATTTTAAGCAAGCCTTTGATACGGTATGGCGATCTGGTTTGTGGTCAAAAGTGTTAAAAAGTGGGATAGATGGTAAATGTCTAAGATTTATCAAAAATATGTATAGTGGTATAAAATCGATGATATGTATTGACCAAAATACCTCAGAGTTTTTCATGTGTAATCTTGGGGTAAGGCAGGGGGAAAATTTATCCCCATTTCTTTTTAATTTGTATATTAATGATTTAGAAAATTATTTACTGCAGAATAATATTGATGGGATTAAGAGCTTAAGTGAGAAAATAGAAAATGAAATGCAGATTATGTTTAAATTATTTATACTTTTCTATGCCGACGACACAGTTTTAATATCTGATAACCCTGAGGACTTACAAAGAGCGTTGAATATTTTTTCTGATTATTGTGACCACTGGAAACTTCAAGTAAATACAGACAAGACTAAGATAGTAATTTTTTCTAGGGGAAGGATCCCTAAAAACATATTTTTGTACAGAGAAGCACCAATTGAAATTGTGAACGAATTTAAATACTTAGGTGTTATCATGTCCCGTAGTGGTTTTTTCAAAAGTGCCAAAACACACTTAACTAAACAAGCTTCAAAAGCAATGTATGGAGTACTTAGAAAGATTAGGTATTTTAACTTGCCAGTAGATTGTCAAATAGATCTTTTTGACAAAGTTATAAGCCCGATTTTGTTGTACGGGTGTGAAGTTTGGGGCTACGAAAACATAGATATTTTAGAAAAGGTACACTTAAAATTTTTGAAATTTGTTTTGCATGTTAAGTCCAGTACCCCAAATTGTATGGTGTATGGGGAAACTGGGCGATATCCTTTAATAATACGTATAAAGGTACGAATGATTACTTACTGGGCTAAACTTTTGATGTCACATGAGAGTAAGCTGACATACATAATGTATTACTTTCTTTATAAGCAATTTTCTGACGGATCATTTATGCACCCATGGTTGAAATGTATAAGGGATATCTTGAATTCCTGTGGCCTGTCTTATGTGTGGATAAATCAAAACTTCATTAGTGTTACATGGTTAAAATCTATTGTGAAAGAAACGTTGTTAAATCAATTTTTACAAGACTGGCATATGAACATAGAAAATTCACCTAAATGTTTAAATTACAGGATTTTCAAAAACAATTTTGGACGAGAAATTTATTTAAGTAAACTCCCAAAAGACTTAAGAATTGTATTAACAAAATTTAGAACTTGTAACCACAAACTCCCAGTAGAATTAGATGGACTAATACTGATAGATCTTTAAGATTATGTAATCTATGTAACAAAAATACTTTGGGGGATGAATTTCACTATATAATGGAGTGTCCATATTTTTTGTCTTTACGGGTAAAACTTATTGATAAGAAGTATTGTCGTCATATAAATACTTATAAATTTGAGAAAATTATGTCCATCACAAATGTTGATTCACTGTTTAAACTGTCTTTATTAGCTAAAAAGATATTGG